ACTTTATTGCTTAAAATTCTGCACCTTATCTTCTTAAAATTTTGCACCTTACTTTATTTTACATCATTTCCTAGGTTTTGATATTGAAAATCAAAATTAAAACAAAACAAAACAATTCTCCTTGAGGACACAACATACGCCAACCATGTCACTTAAGAGTTCCAATAAAGACAACTACCAAAGAAAAACTTTATGGAAGCCTAAGACAAGCAATAAAAGCACAAAGTCAAGTAAGGTATACTAAGAGTGAAATTTAGACAAAACTTTGAATAAGACTATAACAAGAAATGCTAGAAAGAAACTTTAGAAACACTTAAAACATGTTTTCAATTTTTTTTCAGCCAAGCACATACATAAGAAGACTATGTTTCCTATAAAGTTATAACTAATTTGCCAAATTTTAATCATGCAACCAAGTATTATGTGACAATTACTAGAATCAAATCATATAAGTGCATATTCTTTTTTTGAAGCAAGAAGGTTTTGGCCAAGTTAATTTTGTGTATATTTTTTTTTTATTTCTTCATTCTAACTTGATTCTAGACTTGCCAAAAGTTGATTAAAGTTGCTAGGAAAAATTTGATCACTTAGTCCCTATGTTTCAGATCCTAAATCAATTCAACATGCATGGACTAAGCTAAGCAATTTCTTGCAAGTTCAAGTGTTGGAATTCAAGAGATGAAAACTTCAACAAAGCATATTAGACATAAAACTCAAATCAAAAGCTAGGCAAATTTAGAAAGACATTAAACTTAGAAGAATATGTAGCTTAATCAAGTGCAAGTTTTTTTTTTTGGCTATGCATTTTATCAAGAATCATACATGGCATAAAAATAAACTTAGGTGAGTGTAGTATTGGACCAACCTCATGCCCAAACTTTTGAGTGCAACATCGCAAACCAAATGACTACAAAAAACCACAAGTTACACCACAAAACACAAGCTACACAAGGAATGGAGTCAAAGCTACAACAAATAAGCCTAAGTATAACAAATACTCATTAAAACAACATTTTAAAGCACACAAACCAATTAAAAAGTTAATTTTAGAAGTTAAATGAATGCAGAAATTTACACTCATCATGACTCAAAATAGAGTTTTTAAGATGTAGATTTTGATAACTTGTACACCTGGATGAAATATGTGAATTTGTGTGACCTTGAGTAAGGTAAATGCAGGTTTTGATGACTCATTTACCTGATTAAGGTATGTATAACTCATGTGACCTTGAGTAAGGTATGTATAACTTGCGTGTCCTTGAGTAAAGTATGTAGAAATGAAATATGTATAACTCATCATGACTCAAAATAGAGTTTTTAAGATGTAGATTTTGATAACTTGTACACCTGGATGAAATATGTGAATTCGTGTGACCTTGAGTAAGGTAAATGCAGGTTTTGATGACTCATTTACCTGATTAAGGTATGTATAACTCATGTGACCTTGAGTAAGGTATGTATAACTTGCGTGTCCTTGAGTAAAGTATGTATAACTTGTGTGACCCTAAGTAAGGTATAACTTTTATAACTTGTGTGCCCCCAAGTAAAGTATAACTTTTATAACTCATGTGACTTGAGTAAGGTACAATCTTTTAAACTCGTATGACCTCGAGTAAGGTACAACATTTATACTCGTGTGACCCCTAGTAAGATTGATGGAGGACCACAAGGGCAGATTGGGTCAATACTAGAGCCATGGCTCGAAGGATTGAAAAGGAAGAGGCGACTACACCTAGAGCACTCCTTTTATGGAGTCTACATTTTTTAAATCCTTTTGAAAAGACTCATAAATAAATGTTCTCTTTTTGTAGGAATAATTGCAAGACCCTCACCATGGTCTTGGCCAAATCAGGCACATCCACTAGGCCCCAAGAGATCGCATCAACTTGGTCCAAGGGAGCTTAACCAAAGGAGTTTGTCACCTCTCCACCTCCACCTACTTGGTTGCACTTCAAGGGAACCTTGGAGTATATAAGCACTTGAGATCACCTTGACTTGTTCGATGTGGGACTTGGAGGATGAAGCACTAAAAGAAGATGCATCTATGATCACATATTCCACAAGCTCATGGTCACAAAAACTCACCCATGGATCTGCACCACAAGCCATGACCAAGCACCACGCACCAGCTGTTTGGTCAGATCAAGACCACACCTAAGATGGTGTTTGCCAACCATTGAAACACATTGTAATATATACTCTTAGGAAGGTATAGAAAGGAGGAATGTGGGACTACAATTAGCCATTCTCGGTGCCTAAGTGTAGGAGTAGGAAAAGTCTCTCATCTCTAAATAGTTGAAGTGGATGAGAGGGGAAACACTATAAATATACTTGTGTAGCTCTCTTGGCACATTTGAATGAAATCAAGCTTAGTGTGTGGAACTTGCATAATTGCTTGTACCCTATTTTTGGCTTGTCTTCAAGTGCCTTTAGAGACTTCCTTCTCCTATTCTCCAAGCAAGGAACCTTCCTTAAAGGAGAAAGTGCCAGGTCTTTTAAGAAACTTGGGGAAGAATTTTTGGCTAACTCTTGGGAGTTTGAGGTGTAGATTTTTGACGTCTCATTGGGTGGAAGGAGGAGGATATTTCCATCAAAGATACAACTTTTGTACTTGTGTGATCTCGAGTAAGGAAATTTTTTTATCCTCGTGTGACCTTGAGTAAGATGTATGTAAGTTTTATAACTTTGAGTCGTTGTGAATGAAATGTGTAAGAGGACCATATTAGATGAGTTCCTCGATTATATCTTTGACTCGTTGGTATTGGTCGGTAGTATGCACATCATTATGATGAAAATGACAGTACTTGGTAGTATTAGCATGAGTCGAAGATGGTAGAGGTGGTGGTGCACGCACCAACTCTAGTTTTTTAGAATAATGTATTATTCAAACTTAGCTACCTTAGGTTTTTTAGAGGTTTGGTCTAAAAACGACCAAAATTTTCTTATCTTTAAACCTGATATTATTATTCTCCATGCGAATATAATTAGTTGCTTGGGCATGCAGCTCATCAAGTGATTGTGGTGGAAAAGTGAAATAATTATCAATTAAAGGTCTTGGCTATAAAACAACTTGTATTGCATGTAGGGCAACAATCAAGTTCAAATTCAATATGAAATTTAACACCTTTTCGAATCACTCCGTGAAACTTTGGAAGGACTCACCCTATCCTTTTCACACTTTCCAATGCCATAGATATGACCTCGTGCATGTTGTTGGCTGCAAACCGAACTCGGAACTTCTATGTCAATGTGTAATATGAATCAATTGAGTTGTATGGTAAAAAGTAGTATCACCGTAGGGTCAGTCCATGTAACATGGTGGAAAAAACGTGACACAAGACTACTCCATTGTTTGTATACAAATTTACTTCTATTTTGTACATTGCCAAATGATTTACTGGATTGTTCAACCATCGTATTTTTCCAACATAAGAAGTTCCCAATTGGTTGGGAGAGGAGTTTCCATAATTCCTAGAATAAATAGATGATCGTTCTCCTCTTCACATATTTCAATTCTCTGTGTGTATTGTTATGAGTTTGTTCAATGATTCTAAGGTGGAGCTTCAATTGTGAGTTCTCAGCGAGAACTCCGAAGTGGAGCTTTAACTGTTGCTATGTTAGTGTGTGCTCTCGCCTAACATTCTTCTTATAACGATTCCTTACAATTTGACTATGTTTCTTGAGACTCTTGATAATGGTTGTAAGATTCATTTCGTCATTTGAATTTGATACTATTTGACTTCAAGTTACGACTATAGGATGAAAGAGATTGCAAAGATCATTTTACTAAAACCCCATGTTAGGCGCCAAATGTTCTTACCAGACTGGTGAAGGTCTGCAAAAGGGTAAGGTTTGACTGAGAAGATCGGTCGATCAAATTCTGAGATGTGACTTCAAGAAGGTTGAACATAGTTTCCTTTCAAAAGAGTAGAGTGTACTTAAAAAAGACACTTTGACACTTATGTCAACTTTTAGATAAGGGAATGTTGTATTTAAAAATGAGTGATAAGGTAAGATTTACTTCTGATTGAGTCTCATTATATAAGACCCAAAATGTAATAATAGTTTAAAAGATAATAACCGATATAAAATATTATATAAAATAATATCATATTAAAGATAATTAATAATATAATATGTAACTAAGGGTGTCAATATGAGTCTCAACTTATGAGTCAACCTAGATCATCATGAGTTTGAACTGTGTTTGATTGAAAATTTTAAATTTTCTTAATAATGAATTAAAGCGAGTCCGACTCACTTAACTCATGGATTAAACAGGTTGGTGGTGGTGTGACCTATTTTTCTCCATCTTTAATATTCTAATTTTTCCTATCCATACGTTAATGTAAATTCATGAAGAAATTTTTTGTAGTAAACCAACCCACCTAACCCACTTATATTAATAAATTAATCCACCTATTTTAGTAATTCAAAAAATAAAATATATTACAAAAAATATATATTTAAATTAATTAACCCACTATATCGTGTTGGATTGAAATGAATTATAAAATTTTTTGCTAAAAAATATAACCATTTTAAACTAATTAATTTTTAATGTAATTCATGGTTAACCAATTCAAATGAATAAATTGACTCACTTTATATAATAAAATAATTAAATAAATAATATGGTTTTAAGATAAAAAAAATTATAGTTAATTGGTATTATAAATTTTTTATTTAGTAACATAGTTCATAGTGTCTCAATATTTATTATTTTAAATGTCTTAACAAGGATCATTTCTATTTTCCCACACTTAATATATAAGAAAAGGAGGAACCGACAGAATCCACTTATGTTTCACCTTACAATTTCTCACCAAAATCGTGGTTCACCATTGAAAATGAAGCTTACATATAACGTGTTATCAGAGACACGTGTCAAATCAACAGAAACCCAGTAGAGAATCCCCTGTCTACTCTTAACCCGCAAGTGCATAAAGGAGAAGCGCACGATACTCTTCTCAGTTGCATCGAAGACAGAGAGAGAGAGAATGGCAGCAGTTGGTGGCAATCGTGATGTGGCGGGGAGCCAGAACAGCGTTGAGATCGATAGTTTAGCTCGCTTTGCTGTTGAAGAACACAACAAAAAGAAGGTTTTTCTGTGTTTCTCCCTTTCTTTTTTCCTTCAAAAAGATTGAAGAAAATAATACTATTAATTATGTTTTGCTCTGCATTTAGTCGATTCTCGAAAAGTTCCTAAGCGTTCTGTTAATTTCGCATTGGGTATGGCCGATGATCGGTTTTGGCCATGTTAAGGTTTCTTCGGAGATTTACATGTTGGATTAGATTCTCTTTTGATGGACAATCATTGTTTACTTTTGGAATTTTCTTCTAGTGATAATGGGGTCAGTGTGTTACTGGATTGATTATTTGTGAATATAATCTGTGTTATCAGCTTAAAATTAAGAAGAAAATATCTGAGAGTGTGTTGGCCTGTCTCTCGAAAAATAAGTAAAAATTTGCAAAAAAAAAAAAAATGTACAGAACATGCTTTTGGCATCGGTTTGTATGGTGAATAGAGCCAGGAAGGAAGAAAGTGGATGTCTATGGTTTGGTAGTAAGGAGGAAAAAATTAGTGGGGACCATGGTTTTTTACCTGCGTTTTTGCAAAGAAAAACGGGGGATTTTTAACCAAAAACGCAATATAATAAATTATTATGTCTAACCTAATAGATTATGCTGCAAATATTTCTCATTTGAAGCACGTAGAAGCCTTATAATCAATTTTCAGAATTCATGATTGATTATTGATTGTTAGGATAAATTTGCATTTACAGTATGTCAGTGAATAAATAGATTGGCGGTGTTAATTTCAACAACCATGTTGGATTTTTTATTCTTTGTAGTAATAGAAACACAAACGCATTTCTATGGTCTTTTTATTTTGTAGTAAAGGGAATTTGAATTTTATTTTGTTTATATTGAAAATTGGTGCTGGCTATGCAGAATGCCCTTCTGGAGTTTGAAAAGGTGGTAAGTGCAAAACAGCAAGTGGTCTCTGGGACCTTGTACACCATCACTTTGGAGGCAAAAGATGGTGGGCAAAAGAAGGTTTATGAAGCCAAAGTCTGGGAGAAGCCATGGTTGAACTTCAAGGAGTTGCAGGAGTTCAAGGTTGTTGGAGATGCATCTGCATAGCGGCTTAGGTATTTCATAACATTACAGTTGCTCCTGCCTGATTTTAAGTATGAATTGTTTATTGATGAATGCAAATTATCGATATTAAAACATCACTTTTTTGTTATTCTAAAGATGAATCAGAAACTGAGTTTAGAATGAATTGGGGACTAAGTGGGGTAGGGCAATCAGTTTATGATTTACACACAAATATTATTAGTCAGTACAGTGTTTGTCATACTGATGATTGATATTGTCCATTCATTCTATTGGTTGCTTTGTAGAAAGCTGAACAAGTTGTAGTTTTACTGGTTTGTAACTACTAATTGTGATCAAGTGACCATGAAGTTTGTTAGACTATGAAATTATATTATTCATCCTTTGATCCGATTCACTGCAGCCTTTTTTTGGTTTTCCTTAACCTATTCTGAAAGACAAATTTGCACATTAGCATGACTTTTGAAGTTGAAATTTCATCAAAATTTCTTGAAGTACTTATGGCTTAGGGATTGAGGGTATCACATGTATATTTAATAATTTTGGGGAGACCAAAATCATAAATGCATGTAAGTTACAAAATATTAGAAATAATCAAAATCATAAATGTTAATGTAACTTACAAAACATTTTGGGGGGTGGGGGCCATGACCACCCTCATCTCCTAAGAAGATCCTAATCAATATATTTTTTTAGTGTTTATAGAAACTCCTAGAGCATAAACTGGAGTCATAGATTCAATTGGTAGGCTTGTAAGAGATCACTAATATAAAAAATAGTATTAAAAATTCTATTCATGATATATATGCAAAGTATAAGACAACAATAATTGAATGTTTTCACTTCATAATAAAGAGAAATAGTAAATCACAATAATAAAATGTGATGATACATTAGTTCTAAATAAGATCAAACTATATAGATGACCAAATCAAATACAAATTCATGAAAGCATATATTCTTAATGTGAAAACAATTTGAAAAAAGGAATGAATTTCATCAAATAATTTAATTATAATAAAATATTGTCATTGTGGGTGATAGCCAAATAACAATTACAATTTATTTCAAACTTGTTAACTCATTCCTGATTTGAGTTATGTAAGTTTACCATGAGTTTAAAGAGTTTACCAGAGTTTATTCAAAAAAGAGTATATAACCAGTTAACTTTTTTTTCCTTCCTAGAATCATAAACTCATAAGAGAGAGTTAACTCCAGAGCCCTGATGATCCTGCCATTACCATAGTTTTAAACACATGTTGAACCTGTTAGTATTGCGTAGCGGAATGTTTGCGTTTGAGACAAAAATCAAGAGAGGGTGAATTTGTTTCATATAAAAAACTTTCCCTTTCAAAAACTTTTCGCAAGGTTTACCGATTAAACAATAATATAATAAGGCACTTGAAATGTAAAGAAATAAGGGTAGAAGATTACACAAGTAATTTATACTGGTTCAGATCAAAAGACCCTACATCCAGTTATTAATCACTCTAAAAGAGGATTAACTCAGTCACTAAAACAATAGTTCAACATATTACAAATTACAAGTAATAAGGATTAAAAAACATCTCTCTTAAGTCACACAAGAGATGAACACCTCCTTTGAAGCCACAAAGGATGAAGACAGTTTTTCCTAAAGACGACACAACACACAATCCACCAAGAAACTCACTTAGTGATTCTTATCGCTTCTAGCCCCAATAGGTTACAAAAGCCCATTTTTCTTCCCTACCTAAAGTTCTCTCAGTAATCACAGTTATAAACTTTAGCATAAAAAATGTTGTACTTTACAGAGAGTCAGAGAGTTCCTTAAATAGAGATTTTAGGGTTTAGAAATTAGGGTTTTCGAAAATAGGTCTGAAATTTAAAATTCAAAATCATAACTGACACAGATAATTCATTATCATGAGTAATAATCGATTATCACATAGCCATATTTTTGCAGAAGACATAATTTTGACAGGATAATCGATTATCAACAGTGATAATCGATTATTCTAAATACTTTCAGAGACCCATGAGAGCTAGGATAATCGATTATCACTTGTGGATAATCGATTATTGATAATCGATTATCCACAAGTGATATTCGATTATCACAGTGAGTTTTAAATAAAAGCGAACTTTCAGTGGACAGACTATGTACTGGCTATTACAGACTGAAAATGATAAAACAGAGTTATTATAAATAGATACAATTATATATGAGTCTTCTAATCTTGAAGTCTTTTGTCTTTAAAACATCATCAAAATCTTTAGGCATTATATCCTTGTATTTTCAACAGAACCTTATACCCAATTGAGGGATGACTACCCTGACCACTGGTAGAGTCTTCCTTTAAGGACCATAAGGGCTTCACTAATTATTAAGTGATTTCCACTTTTAGATGTTTTCTGCCCAATACCATAAAACTTTCAAAATGTCTAATAGATCCCAAGCAGCTTCAATTCTCTCCAACTACAAAATAAGTAGCGGTGTATTTGCTTTCACTTTCGCTTTTTCTTTTCATTTTCTGTTTTCACATTTTAATTTCACAACTACTACTTTTGTTTTCAATTTGTTTCCATTTTCAAAGTTTGTCCAGGTAACATAGAAAACAAAAAAAAAAGTTGTTTTCAGTTTCCTATGCAAAATTTTGGAACAAGAAACATATTGAAATCAAAGTTTACTTTTGTGTATCATTAAAAAGTGAATACATAAAACAGAAATACCCAGAAATACATAAATCCAGGTAATATTTCCTTCAATCTGTGCACTTTTCTCATTTTTTTTTTATGTTCAAGTACTACTATTATATTTTGCTGTAATACCCTGAGTACTTTATGGTATTGTTTCAGATCAAAAGTCGAGTTTTTTCTTAAAAATCAGTGCTAACCTTCAATTAAGACCTTTGCTGTGCTGATGTTGGAATTTTTAAAGGAGTGTTTCTTGATTTTTCAGGTTTCCGAAGAGTTGGTAGAAGGTGAAAGCCTAAGGATATATCAGAACTTCCTATCTTATATCCTATATGTATAAAATAAATGTAGCTTTCTTACCTTCCCTGTGATATTTAAAGTTGTAACTTTGGCATCCTATTTGAAGGTTAAATGCACGAAATATATGATTTGGGTGTGTTTTATTTTTTGAATGTAATTCTTTTAAAAAGTAGCAATTTTTAGTTGTTGGATTAAGAAAAATGAAGAAAAAGAACTAGGAGTAATATTTTAGAAGTTACCAGAGAGGTTAATTTCTCTATTCACTATTTATTTTTTCGAAATTTAATACTTTTAATAAATAATCAATTTTTTTTTATTATATTTCGAAGAAATGGATGGTAAAATATATTACTATTGGAGTAACTTGATATTGTGTACTGATTGAAATATTTAAAAAAAAAAAAACTTTTTTCAATATTTTAATTTTTTAGATGGGATGGTATCTGATTTTACGATCAAAATTTTATATTTCTGATCGAAATGTTCATTGGTACTTATAAAAACTAATTAATTAAAATGTTTTAATATTTTTTTATCATTCAAATTTACAATAAATTCTTTCGACTTCTCATGCTATTTCTGAAAAAAAAAATTATTAAATTGAACAAAGGCAAGCAACTTGGCAGTGTCTATGATTTTAAGTTTTTGGTTTTGACTTTGAACTTAGAAAGGGTAATTGTGTCTTGTAACCTTATAATTGTTTTCTACACCTTCGTGAATGAGTGAACGAAGAGAAAATGACTTTTCACAATCTTTAAATTTTTATAATGTATTAAAATATAAAAAAATTTACAGTTTAGATGTATTTTGAAAAATTAATATGTTTGAGTATGATAAGGAAGTATAGGTAATTATGAAAACGGAAATCCAGTCTTCTTACTTTATATTTTGTTCGCTAACATTAAATTGCCAAATAACTTTAATGGTAGATGTTACAGCAAAAAGCTGTCATTTAATTTTATTTTAAAGCTGGCATATATATTTTGATTCTTAACATTAAATAAACAAATATAATTATTTTTTTCTTTTGGACCACACAAAATTTCATTTCTTTTAGCATTGTGCGGTATTAACCTCAAGGCCTAAATCAATGTATTAGCATCAAATATTCCAATAATTAATAATTATTATAATTAGGATTAATCTTAGCGAATAGCGTGATTTAAATATCTGCTTTTACGAATTAGGTTGGATTTGTTATTACTAATCTTAGACATAAAATCGAAATTGACGCAAAAAACATTTGAATTTCGTTTGAAAAAAAATAGTAATATATGTCATAATAAAGATATTAAACATAAAAGGGAACAGAAAGAATAACATAGGGTCCTACCTATTCAAAGCATAATATTAGTATGGAACATGCCTGTTGTGAATAATTGTTAGTAATAATTATAAGCGTAAAATATTTATGTGAAATTTAAATTTTTTCTTCAAGATATATAAAAGAAATATAAATAAAAATTTTAAATATTCAAACTTTATTTTTATAAAATCATTATATTTATAAAACATCTAATTTTTCTTTAAAATCTCTCTCTCAATAATTTTTTTTCTTTAGATTGAAGTACACGGAAGGATTCTTAGAAAAGAGTGAAATACTTCTTGACGAGGACATAATCAGGAAGTTACAAATGAAACTAAGAAATAATTGAAGGAAGGTTAACATGAAGAAAATATTCCAAGAGAACTCCTAGATGTATGATAATTTTTTATGACCACTGGTTTGTTCTTTTTTCTTTGTTTAGAGTCATATGTCTTGTTTAATTTCTTTACATCAATTCTTGATCGCTTAATTTTGATCGTGATTTGTTTTTCTTTGAAACTAAGGATTGAATTGATTAGACTACCAAACTTAGGATTTATGTGTTCAAGATTTGTCACATCATCCTTTAGTGTTGTGTTGAGGTTTTTTATATGAGAAAGAAAATTAACAAAAAGTACATAGTTGTTGCCCAAGAGCTATATGGCCTCGAAACAGTAAAGGAAAAAAAAAGAAGGTGTGCAAAAACATAAGAATAAAATCTTTTACACAATAGTAATTGATG